GATGATGCTCTGATTCTGTATAAGGCTTATTGTTATCAAGATGTGGTTTCATTTTTTTTTTGTCAGCCTAGTACCAGGACTAGTGCCCCAGGACCCCAAACTCCAATACCCTTATTAAACATCAATTCAAGACAACCCAGCTATCCCCAACCCCTGCCTCCATGAGACAAGGTATGCTGGAACAAATGACTATCTAACAGTAGACGTGAAAGAAAGGAGAAAGAGTGCCAAGCTCCATTACTTGGAAAGGCTAACTCTATTTCAAATCATTTCATCCTTGTAAAATATGAACCAATTATTTGGGGTAGGGGGAAAGATAAAGCAGTAAAATAAGAGCTATTGTTTAAGCATGGAAAAATCACAAAGTCATTTCATTAAAATTATCCTGGTCAAAAAACGTGAACTTTTATGGCAAGCTATACATTTGGCATGAGAATGTCAAGTTAGCGTTATTTTTTATTGCTGACCTGTCCTACTCCTGAGGAGAGGGTCTTGTCTGTTGTTTTACCCCTAGGAATCTCCTTGTGGCTTTCCATTTTGCTTCTTCTACAGGTGTATTGTCCCTCCCTCCCAGAAGACAAAAAGAAAATAAATGAAAAAGCAAGTAATAAAAAGGGTTTGAAAAGAAGGAATTGACATTTTAATATTATTTGGTATAATTTATGGGGGTGACCGCAAAGGAAAAAAAATCAGGATCACACTTTTCTAAACGCTTTGCAAATAACCAACTAAATTTAGCATGCATAAGTTTCCTTACATGGCTTATTCTTAAGGATTCTACCATATCCATGTCTTAGAGAGATTGTTGGAGGTTTTGTTTGTTTTGTTTTGTAGGGATAAAGAAAAGCATAAATTTTCATACTGACTCCTACATTTGTTTTGAATTTTTAAGCATCATTTGTACAGAAAAGGCAGTAACAGATTTACTGGGTGCACTCAGAATCAAGAAAAGCTAACAGACTGCTAAGTTTGGTTTCTGTTTATTCTCTCCTTGTTTTCTTCTACCAAGAAATGAGATTTAAGCACCATGTTATTTTTATTGCAGTGTCATAATGGATGACAGCCACTGAGTAACAGAAATAACTACTCATGTATTCTTGAGTGGCAGGTAAGTGGACTTCATGCTTCCAGAAGTGGTAAGGCATCCCAAAAATCTAAGGTGAAGAGCTTGGGGCACTTTCCAAGGGGTCTACATTTAATTACATTTAGCTTAGCTTTAATTTGAGGGACAGGGTCAGAAACATAGACACCGAGGGATACAGAACTTGAGGTTGGTGCCTCTGTGACCCCAGAACAAGAAACACATTCTCCTGACAGAGAGGACAGGCCCAGCTGTGTATCTGGGTTGGTGACCAGTGCACTATTAAAGAAAGGATTTATGTTGGATGAGGAAAATAGGAACTGGACATAGAGGAATGCATTTATTTCTATATTTTGCTTTAATTTTGGATTTTTTTCTCTTTGCATGATTGTTGGTGGAGCTATTTATTTGAGAAAGAAAAATGCAGAGATTAAAAAATTTTTTTTTTAAAGAACCTGACCCCACTCCTCCAAACTCTGTCAGGTAAAACTGCTGAACCACCTGGAGAATGCAGGATCCACAAGTGGGAGTGGGTCCAGTAGGGAAACAGTGGATACTTCCCTCAACAATCAGAACCAGGTCTGAGGCAGGCATGGTTAGACAGAGTATGGCACCTGCCCACAAGAAGCTGGTCTGGGATCACCTCAGATGAAATTTCTTTGAGGATTCCCCTGGCTGCACTGCTGGATTCAGAACCCCAATCATGGAGAGAACTGCAAGTCCCATGGTCTGACTGTGAAGTACATGTGTCAGAGCTAGGCCTCCTCAGTGGCTCAAACAGAGCAGTAGATGGCATGTCCGGGTGTACATGGAGGACATGGCAGTATATTAGAGTCTGTAGAGGACACCTGGTACCATAACAGAGGACAGAACAAATTGATCAATTACCTCAGCCAAGTGTTGGCAGTGAATACCTGGGCACAAGGAGACTCTAATATGGACTATGTTAACCAGTGGATTCTGGAGAGATTTCATCGTGCTTTGAGTGGCAAGATCAGCAGTAATTCAGAAATGCTGAACTATCAAACCTTCTTGAGCAGGAGCGTCAGAGCATGTCCCACACTGGGGACCCTGGGGTAGTTGGGAGGCTGGGTACAGCTTAGCCCCTTATCTCCCTCCTTCCCCCAGATACAGGAAGGAAAAAGAATGTGGAAATGGTGATCTTACCCACCTTCCTCTAGTCCTTGACCCTTGTCACCCTAATCAACTATATAAAAATCGTCAAAAATAAAAATAATTTTTTTAAAAACCTGTCACCCTCCAATTTTAGATTAATTCACTTCTGGGGTGAACTATTACTCATCCCTTACCAAATGTTTCCTATTTGTTTGACTACAAATAAGTGAGATGCATCAAACACCACAGAACCCCCAAATACGTCTCTCTTCTTTTATGCAGGAAACAGAACCATAGGCTGATGAATGAAGATTGGATCAGACCATAGTTTCTCATTCCCTATCTCAGAAGCCAATAGAATTCTATTATTTTTCTCCTAATGTATGAAAGGAGTTAAAAAGATATAAAAATTTCACTTGGCAGTTACCTGTGGTCATTCATACCAATAATGTAGATGCCATTCTAACTTATTCATAGATGCCACTCAATAGTGTTTCCCTATTAACCGCTATAACCTTGGAAAGGACCAGCAAGCCTTCTCAACATGGGATGCAAGTAGGAGAGCTTCTATCAAACCAGTGGAGTTGGTTCCCTATAGTTGGAGGGAGGGAAGAGGAAGCAAAAGCATGGCCTCTTTCTTCAATCACTTCTCTTTCACTGGAGTTGTCATAGTAAGCCTACCTTTTATGTAATTAAAATGCAATCCAATAAAAGTATGATTATAGAATAAAAACAAAAAGAAAAGTTAACCAAAAGAAGCCTCATCTTCTATGGTTTTCTACTCAGTTAAACAGTGGGTAATTGCATAATATTAAAATTATCAAGTGGTATCCTAAGGAAATATTTAAACATGCAAAGATTTAACAAAAAATCCAGGGATAAATGATCATTCAAGGAAAGCCTGTTTCTAAACTAACAGGTTCAATATTAAGTTGTTTTGCTTTTCCCTAACTTCCCTTATGACAGAGGAAAATCCTGTCATTCAGGCTTTAAACACTAACATTCACTTTTCCTATATCCTTTTCTACTGAAAATCTGAGTCATAAGTAATTTATGATGTCACTCTTCAAACTTGTACTGAAGCCACTCACCTCTTCACAACCACAAGATTGTTTGGTCTGCCTTGTGTAGACACGTTCCCCCGCCCCCAACATCCACACCAACACCACTGTCAGCAGAACTAAAAGCTGAAGAGCTGTTGAAACTCCTGAGATAAGAAGGGCTGTAAATGCCTGTTAACAGCTCTTCATGTTTACTTTCCTGTGATTTATATTCAATTTATGATGGCCATTATAGTAGATACACTTCACTTAATCAAGAGCAAAGTCAAGTCCTGGTCATGAAACACTTCCCCTCCCTTGCTTTCCTAGGACAGCATATCCTTTGTTTCATTAGAAGGACTGCAAATACATACTCAAAAGCCAAACATGAAAGAAGTCAGCAGCAGCGATTAATTTTATGGGCTGGCGCTACTAGAGTATAAATCTCTGTCAAGGCCACCATTTTTGAGCTCATTTTACCTGCTCAATCAGAGACACTGGAGTTCAGGTAGTAAGTGTTCACCCACAGCTTGCACATCACTGCAAAAATCTAATAGCCCCACTACCTTAACAAAGAGCCAGATAAGAACACAAAATGAAGCAGTAATGGCCTTTGGAAATAGCAACAAGCTCATCCAGAGGTCTACCTCCATAAAATTGCATGTTCTTTCACTATTATTTTAGACAGTTTGTAATTTGTTTATTCTGATCATGTGTATGACATTCCCTTAATAAACAACAGAGTACTGTATAAATGGAATTATTCTAATTTGATTAACCTAGAAAAATCACATTTTTAACAAACGATCTGTTTATAATGCAGAGATTAGATTTAAAAAAATAAAAAAGAAAACACACACAGTCAAAACCGAAGAGATTAGATTGCTCAGGATTAGGGGAACACAGAATAAATGCAATTTATCCTAAAGAAACCCTTTATACCCCAAATAAAAACATCAGTCATCATGTGGAAATTCACAAATTCATTCTCATGGAAATGTGACCTTGTAAGGATCCAATATGTCTTACATGGCTCTCACTTTTTCACTGACCTTTGTCAGTTCAGTAACTCAAGGTCTCTTAGGCTAGAAACTTTTGGGTTAAATTATTTTTGCCTCTCTGTGACATTGTAATGGCCCCATTCATAATATAACTCTGTGTGCTGTGCCAATGGAAACAGCTCAGGCAAGGTTTATCATCCTAAGAAAATAACGGAAATTAAATATGAAGGTGGTTTTCAGGGAAATGTGCAGTTTTACGGAATTCCAAAGCCAAGTGGGTTGTGCTGTGTAGGGCCCCCTGCTTCACGCTCTCAGCCAACATCTGTCTTTTCACCCTCAGCTTTTAGTCTTCCTCTGCCTATCTATAGCACAGTTTCTCACCAAGACTCACACTGGAAACATTTGGAAATACTTGATCATCAAAGCAGGAGTCTCCTTTATCCATCACTTCCAGGGAGTGACTACCTCCTCGGGTATTTTGTTCAAAGGCCACACCACTCAGTTATTTTCACAGTAATAACTGGTTACAGCTTGAAGGAAAGGACAGATTTAACCCAACTTCCAACTCACCTTCTGTCTTTCTGGGTATCTTTTACATTTTTTTTGAAGGGTTCATCCTGGCCACAGGTCATACAAGTTGGGGACAATCTGCAGAAGGAACAACTAGCCCCATCCTTGATGTGGGCAAAGGCTTTTCTCTAACTCAGAAAGTAAATCTAGCAAGAGAAGGAAATTGCTATTAAACCATGCAGAAATACTCACAGTTTTGGTTTGGCAAGCAGAGGGGGCGGCTCCTTCGTGGGCGAGAACAGGGCAGGTGGCGATGAAGATTTATGACTGTTGGTTTTGCCATTAATCAGGCCGTTGACTCCATGGCCAGGAAGGATGCCATTAGCTTCCCTCTCAGCAGAGTTGAACTGCATCTGAAGGACTGCCATACTAAGTCCCAAGTCAGGGCTGTTCACCTGCTGGATTTCAGATGGTTTCTTTGAAGCCAATTCAAAGGAATTTGTCTCCAAGATTGGTGGCGGAGGTGGGAAGTGCTGAAAATCATTGTTGGATTCGCCTACTGAATCATAGCTACAATTTTCAGAGTTGGCTAAAGAAGGGGAGAAGAAGGAAGAAACAATGATATGCCACTGCTAGTTCGTAAGCAACTGGAGCATTCTCATACATCTTTGGAGAATCTCTCATGTACTGTTGTGTTGTTGAAGGAGAGGTGGCTGTTATGCTCATTCAAGCTTGAAGCACTGGCCTCTGGAGAGCCTGGCTCTTCCAAGCTTGTTTTAACTGTTACCTGTTTCATTTCCTAACTGAGCTCACAAGTGGAAAAATCACTTACTAAGTAACACATTTCAAATTAAAGGCAAAGATAGGACTTGGTAAAAATGACAACCCCATCACTATCAATGAAGGCTTTGTTTTCTGACATTTCAACCCATGGGTCTGACTGAACGTCTCAGTGTCTTTACTGACACTGGCTTCAGCTATGAAACTTTTCCTATCTCTGAGTCCAAGTGAAATGTCTCATAATCTCCTAGAAAATGTTTTCCCGGGTCAGAAGATGGTCCCTTTGGATTCTTCACCTTTCCCAGAGCCCAGAAAAGCTCCTGGTCTGCACTGAGAAGTGTGCACTGAGGTAAATGGAAACCTTGATATCTGTTGATTATGTTTGGTCAGCATGGATTCATCCCAGATAAAAATGGGAAATATTATGCAGCAATCTTTGCCACTCAGACTGCAGTCAAGGATTTGGATCATGTTGTTGGAACACTGCACTATCGCTACAGCCATTCAGTGGTGACATCTTCTAGTCAGCTCCTGCTCTATAATTCCAGTGATGACAATGGGGTTCTCTCATCATATCAGCCAATTTTCCAGGAAGGTGAACCTGGCATCTCTCAGTGTAATTAAGATGAGAAAGCATTTACAGTTGCTGTTCTAACACCCCTAGCTGGTTTTGGCTGTGCCTCTACTGCCACCTAGCACCAAGTTCTTGATCTTCAAAGAAATCAATCTAAGTGCAATTCAGCTGTTCTCCCCAAGCTTATCTCTCGCAATTAACCAGGAATTTATTGTTTTCTTACTTTGTGTATAACCAAGTGCCAGGCTTGGTTGAAGAGAGATTTTTAAAAATTATGTAAGAAGAGTATTACAGTTGAGGCCATTAGCATAAGCTAAAGAATATTCATTCATAATTGCAGAAAATAGTAAAGTAAAATAAAAATAATAATAAAAGTCCACAAAAGCTGTTTCATATCACCTTAACTGGTGGCGAGTTTCTGAGTTTCAAAAATATTCATGCATTTCTGAGTATCCTTTACTGCTGTGTTTTTCAAATCACAATTATACACGAGGCCTTGAAAAGGTTCATGGAAAATTTGTATTATGTAAAAATTATACATGGATTTTAAAAAATGTTTGCACTGAAATAAATACATTTTAATTTCATTTTCTAAGTACTTTTTAAAGTGCCCTCAAATACGGCCACTGATAAATACCATCCATGAAATTCAATCCAATCCTGACAATTGCTCTGAAGTACATTAGGTTTATCTTGTGTTACTCTTACAGAAACCAGCAGAGGGGCCTGAACAATGATTTAATTGTACATGTATCTTCAGATCTCAGGTGTTGGACCTGCTGAGAACAGGGACTGCCCCTCTGATTTGGAAGTGGCCTTTGGATGTGAACCTGCTTCTAGGTTATCACAAAGATGTTAGGAAACCAGCTCCATTGTTTCCAAGAATAAAACTGCAGAAGTTTAACCACAGCCCCAGGGGTGCTCAGTTGTCATTTCATCATTACCTCTTTGTCACTGCCAGCCTCACTCCTTGTCTCCCTCCCCCAAAGCCCTTGCTTTCTCCATGAAATATCTGATTGTAAGCGCTACTCCTGGAATGGCTGCACATTCCTGAAGGCTGAGCCTGCTCCCTGCAGCAGCTCCTCTCTGCATGGCCAGCCACCCTGGGAATGGGTACTGGAACCCAATCATTGCTTCCTCCCCACCTACCAGAGGTGACAACCAGCTGAGCAGTGCTCGTTGCAGACCCATAATCATTTCTTGCTGAGCATGTAAAGATCCCCGCATCTTCAGGGAAAGTCTCTGCAATAACCAGGGTACAGATCTCCTCTGGAGGGGAAGAGAACAGAATAACTCATTAGAAGGAAACCACTCCTCAGAGGCAGATGCTCTGCCTTTCTCCATCAAGCCAGTTAGGTCCTATTATCCCAGACTTGCTTCTCCAAAGTCGGCCCAATGGAAGAATCTCCTTACATTTGATGAGCAATTCAACCTAGCTGATGTCTCGGAGATGGACTCAGTCTTTGTGACACTTAGAAAAACATTTTCAACAATTATTTGAGAGGGAAGAATGATGGAAGAACCAACAGAAAAATAGAGTTTCTGTTTACTGATTCACTTCCCTGAGTGTCCTCAGTGCCCAGGGCGGGGCCAGGGGTGGGCCTGGTTAAAACTGAGCATGCTGAGAACTTAATCCAGGTCTCTGCTTGTGGGAGGTAGGAAATAAATTACTTGAGCAATCTCGTGCTGCCTCACAGGGCAAATGACAGGAAGCTAGAGTCAGGCGTCCGAGCTGAGACTGAATACAGGCATTCCAGCGTTGGAGGCCAGCATCGTAGTTCCTAAACTAACCGTCTGCAGCACTGATTTCAGAAAAGAGCAGTCTGTTCTCTCGTGTATAAAAGAGGAATAATGTGTACCTAGTGAGAAAGCTGTGTAAACAAACTGGGATATTTCCAAGTGTGTAACTCTGAATTTGACATGCGTATGGTGTTCCCATCTAGGATAACTGGAAGTTCTTTCTGTGCAATACAAAGGCCTCCTACTTCTGCTCAACTGAAGATGAATTTGTTGGGAAAATAAAGATCCTCTAAAATGCTGATAATAGGAAAGGATATAATGTACAAATTATGCAGGTAATTATCCCAAATTGCACAGTTACACAGTATGGCAGTGTAACCTGGAAAGTCTAGTTCACGCTAAGTGTCACTTGACTCAGAGTTCCAGCTCATCTAAGACAGGAAAAGTCCAAAGCTCTGTGACTCCGGTCAACTCCTCAATAAAATTAACCACCATAGGGTAATTGAGAAGGATGAGGATGAAGAAGATAACAATAAAAGGATTTGCTGTAACTTGATATTAACATTTAACACGCATGAAATATGATTTAATCTGCCTTACAAGTTAGGGCATTTAGTCTGCCTTACAAATTAGGTAATTATTACATTTTTATGTGATTGTTTTTCCATTTTATTCAAAAGGCATGAGAGAAAAAGAGATCTTCATCCCCACATGCTCTCCAACAGCCAGACCCGGTCCAGGCCAGAGCTAGGAGCCTAGAACTTGGAACTCAATCCCTTGCACACAGCAAGACTCCATGCTCTTTTGAGTCCTTTTTTTTTTTTTGCCTCCAGGTATGTGTTAGCAAGGAGCTGGATTAGAGGCAGAGGAGTCAAGACTGGATCCAGGTACTCCATTATGGGATATTGGCACCCCAAGTAGCGTCTTAACTCTTGTGCCAAACGTATACCCAGGTGATTATTACTGTTAGCCCCATTAAGCTGATTGAACACTGAAGCACAATACACCTACTAGGTTGCCCCAAGTTCACATGGCTGCTAAGTGGTAAAAGCAGGATTCAAACCAAGCTGGTTTCCAGACTTCACATTCCTGAAAGCCCCCATTCTCATGAGTTAAAACCGAATATAACAAATACGGTATAGACCAGGGACACCAGCATTAAAAGGAAGCTAGATTTATAATATGCCAACTACTTTTAGGTTGAATAATTTTCTTTGTTGTGGAAGTAAAATAAAAATTGCATTGTCAAATGTAAAAGAAGATGATATATTTTTGATTGCCACAAAGTAACTTTATCCTTTATTGGCATACATCTGAGCAATTTAAAACTTCATATTACAGGGTTTTTTGGGGGGATGGTAAAATCTGGCTGTAGTTACTACTGTCTTTTGACCCCATGACCATTTGTTACGTGGCTATGCAACTCCTTCCATTAAGTGGTAGAGGCTTTGAAACTAGGATGCCTATGTAAATCTCTTCAGCCTGGAGCTATATGGTGGGCCAATTCTGAGCCAAAAGCCTCAAGGGTCTCTGACTACTTTTGTTCAATCTTTTGGAATCCAGATGAACCTGTAGGTCGTCAAGGCTGCACTAGCTTGATGGGAGAGGAGACCGCATACAGCAGACAAGACAACGTTGTGAAACAGACCAGCCTAGACTAATTCATTGCTGGCCCTTCTTCAGGCTGATCACAACCACTCAGAGGGAGTCCAGTTGAGATCAGCTGAGTCCAGCTGAGGAGCAGCCAAATGGCTGACCCACAAAATTGTGAACGAAACAAATGATTACTGCTTTAAGTCATTTCAGTCATCGGTGCCAAACTGTGTAGTATGCGAACAGATATAATTTGATACCGTAAAATGCTTATTTTTTAAACTTTCACTGACATTGTTCCTGTAACATCTATGAAAACTAAACATACTTTCTTGAATTTCTCCTTTTACTACTGGTTTATTGCCCAAATGGCCACAATGGCCATGTCTCCCATGGCAGGGATCCAAGCACTTAGGCCATCTTCTGCTGCTTTCCTGGACACACTAGCAGGGAGCTGGATGGGTAGTGCAAACAGCCAGGTCTTGTCCCCAGCTTTGGTATGCTGGGATCAAGATGGAGGCTAAATCCACTGTGCCAGGATGTTAGCCCAATGTACTCTTTATTTGTAGATTCACTTTTCTTTTTGAATTGGTAGTATAAATACAAGGCACAAAACTTAAAGGGCCTAAGTAGGTACATGATTCCTTGCCTTTTAAATAATTGTTTAAAAATTCACAAGGCTTCCATTAGAATTTTGTATGCAGACTTACACGTTTCAGCTGATACATATGTATTATACCTTGCTAAAAAGAGACAACAGGAATATATAAAGGGATGTTTAAGATTATATATGAGTGAGCAAGATCAGAAGTAGAAGAGCTGGAAGTTGAACTAGAGCCCCTATGGGATGCTGGTGTTATAGGCAGCAGTTTTACCTACTGTGCCACAAATGTCAGCTCCGTTGCCAACAAGTAAAAAAAATAAATAAACTGTTATACGTGATCCACCACAGTCATTATTCCAGCAAATCTCAATCATTCCTTTTGGGTTTAATTAAGAGAGGTATCATATTAAGAAAACCATTTTCAGGTAGGGGTTGCAGAGACAGTGATAGAGTTACAGTTCACAACCAGTATTTGACCATAAGTTCCCTGAATAGAAGGAAGAAAACAGGACGACAGAAAGTGTGAGGCAATCCTGTGTTTGCTGACCACACTGAACACAACTCTTGGCTTCCCAATGGAAGAGGAAGATACAGAGTGTGGAAGTAATTCAAATTGGGGCTTCAGGTCTGATTAATCATTGGGAAAGTGAGATGTATCTGGAAAGGTACAAGGGATTGGAAGTTTTTAAATTGAATACATATGGCTTTAGGATGAATTAAAAGTGTACAGGGGCGGGGGAAAAGCACAACTTAGACTTTCAGTGCAATAAGACATTCTCAAGACCTACCAGCCCACATCCCTCATTTCCTCGGGCTGGGTCCAGACTGATTCTCTCACGGTCATGGCTAGTGAAGGTTAGAGCTCAGAGGCCAGAGGTAGGCAGCCTGCCTTGCATGCACATACCCTTTTCTCCACAAAGCATGCAGTTGCTCTAGCTGCTCTGCAGTTTTTCCTGGCTCAGAAGACAAGGAACCTGACATAAAGTGAGGTCATGAAGGAATTGAGCTGGGAGACTGGTGAGCTGGGAGACTGGGAGTTTCCTGATGCTGAGAACTTGAACTGCTCTCCTCAGTATCCAGATAATTCATCAGAAATCCATCCACACAAGGAGCTGAGCTCGGTGTCTTCCAAGATGTGATGTGCTAGGAGTGGACATTTGGCACAGGCATTGGAATACTACCTGGGGTTCCTTCATCTTGTATCAGAAGGCCTGGGCCTCAGTCATGGCTCTGCTGGCAAGTCTAGTTTCCTGCTAATGCATACCCTGTGAGGCAGCCATGATAGTCCAATCCTAGGGTTCTCACACCCACATGCAAGGCTCTGATTGCGCTCCTGGCTTCAACCTGGACCAGCCCCGGTTATTGTGCACATTTGTGGAATGAACCAGTGGATGAAACATTATCTCTGTCTCTCTCCCTTTCTCTCTGTGTGTTTTTGTATGTGTGTGTTTATCAGATATGATACATTCGAATAGGATACAAACCAAGGCAAAGTACATTAAAATACTGACATGCTGCTAGGAGACAAAAATGAAGACCATTCTTAGGTTTTGGAAAAAAGAAGAAAAACCTGCTATACTAGCTGGCCTTTGGGCAGTGGAGTCACTCATGCAGAGGTCACCTTCATTTCCATGTTAGCAGACACTACCTAAGAGCAGGGAAGTCTTCCCAGCTCCCAGCAGCACCAGGTGCTTCCTGACTGGACACTCATGGCCTGGATCCCTGTGCACTGCTTTCTCCCCAAGACTTGTTGCTGTCTGGAGAAGTCTTGGCTCAACCTTCGATTATCTACACCTGGAAAGATGGAGCTTCTCTGGACATGTGAAGCCAGTGCCAGTTCAGTGTCCCAGAATGCTTCTGCTGTGAGCACAGACAGAATTCAGTGCCTTGAAAATGACATTCAAAAAGATAAGATTTGGGCCTGGCACAATGGCTCAGTAGCTAAACTCTCTCTTTGCATGCATTGGGGTCCTGTATGGACACCTGTTCATGTCCTGGCTGCTCTACTTCCCATCTAGCTCCCTGCTTGTGGCCTGGGAAAGCAGTTGAGGACGGCCCAAAGCTTGGAACCCTGCACCTGCATGGGAGATGCAGAGGAAGCTCCTGGTTCCTGGCTTCGGATCAGTTCAGCTCTGGCCATTATGGCCACTTGGGGAGTGAATCAGTGGATGGAAGATCTTTCTCTATCACTCTTTCTCTTCTTAAATTTAACTTTCCAATAAAAATAAAATTTTTACACACCAAAATGAATTGGTCTACACGAAGTGGTCCTGGATGATCTGCATGGTTCCTTTGTGGCCTTTCTATGATTTGGGTGGGGGGGGGGGTCTTG